AAATGTGAAGGATTTGACTACATGGCAAATACCGCCACAATTATTTTACATAACAGCAGCAGCCCATCAATTATGGACAACTCTACTCTTACTTGGACATCTAAAGAAGGCATTAAAATAGTCCTACGTAGGGGTAGCTTCCTTCCTTGAACAAATTACTTGATAATAAAGTTGGAGTGTTGTTATTTCCACCCACCTGTCCTATTTTCTCACCCACTTTATCTTCAAAATTTTAAAGACAAGTTTACCTTTTGTAAAATGACTATTTACCCCTTTCTCTTTGAAACAGAATATTTCATAAGGCCAACGCCATTTCCATTTCACTCAACGCCAACTGCGTTTTCCTCGAATTTGAAAAACATGGGGTACAAAATAGACGAAATGGGAATGAATTCTTTTCCAGCAAAGCTTTTTTTTAACTTCTTCCAATTGGTTGCCTTTCTATGCACTCTTCTTTCACTCCAATTTCGATCTAATTCCAATTATCACTTCTATGAAACCTTACACAGAGAGGATTGTTTTCCATAGGGACGAGGGGTGGCTTTGGGGAGGTGAGGTTGCCGTAAAAAGGATTGTAAGCATGGGCTTCTGTGATATACACTTTGTAAGTTTCTTTCAGTTTTCAAAGTTCTCTAAGAGTTTGTAGACCTGAGGCAACTACAATAGTTGTGAGTGAGAGTGGAGTGTGAGTGTCCTGCGTGACATTGCTTGCTTTCACTGAACTAAGATTTCTGTAAGTTCTTACTTTGTTTTCAAAGGTTCCACAGTTAATAATATTTCCAATTAATATTATTTTCTGTGTTTATTTTATAGTCCTTCAAATTCTAATTTATGTTAGTCCAATTATTTTCATTAATCTATATTCTTTATTAAATTAAACTTAGTGCCCTCAGAATTTTTTATTTGTATAATTTATTCACCTATGTTAATTTTCTTTTAAGTTTATGATTAATTTATTAATTTCAATTTGCATTTATTCATTAATTTATTCATTACTTCTCTATTTTTTATTTTTTAATTGCTCAAGTCATCTTCCAAGTCAACTATTTAGTCATACTCTCCATTCTCTTCCGTAGCTAACAATTCCATTTCTTCTTCCATGTCTTCAAAGTCTTCAAATTATTAAATACACAAACCAACTCTTAAAGTCAAGCTTCCATTTATAACTAGTTAAAAATCATTTTATTCTAGTTCTTCTAGAGTATAGGTCCTAGTCCCCTTCTGGTATTAAGGTGAGAGAGAGAAAACCCATAGGTTCTTAGGTACCTTAGAGTCAATCTTAGGAGTTACCCAAGAGTCTTTCTATTTTGGAAGTCATGTAAGAGTCTTTCTAATTTAGTTAATTTAAATTTTCCACGTAAGCAAAATGAGTCGTTTATTTAGAACCAATTCAATTAATTCTTCTAGTTCTAGAACCAGTCTAGGCCCAGTTCCAGATATAGTTAATGAAGAAGTTTTAGAATTTGAGTCTTCTAGTTCAGAATTAAATTGTAATGATTGGAATATACCTAAAGTCCCTAATAAGGAAATTTATAAGCAAAAATGGTCAATTAATGCATTTAAGCAAACTACGCATATTAAGACAGTAGAACAAGTCTATGCCTTAGGAAAAGAACATGAAACATGTCAGTTACTTAATTTAGATGCAATTAAAAACCATAGAAAAGAAGGTAATAATTTTTTACATATAGGTCTAGTTCAAGTTGCAGTTAAGCCCTTAACTAAATTAGGTTTAAAAGCCGCAATTTTATTAAGTCTAAGAGATGCCAGATTTAATGATTACCAAGAAGGAGTCTTAGGAATTATTGAGTCAAGTCTATGCCATGGTCCAGTACATTTTGATTGTTATCCAGATTTTACTGTAAGCCTTAGTGATCCGCATATTTTGAAAGTTTTAACTTTAACTATTAAAACGCACGGTTATAATGTTTTACCAGGTACCCAACCTTTAGCTTTAATTTATAGAATTTATTACAAAGTCACAGGCACCAACATTAATTTTCAAGCCTTAAGCAAAAGCCCAAAAAATCAAACGCTTTTAATTCAGAGTCATACCCAAAATGCTAATATTACAGTTCCCAAAATGATTAGGTGGTCAGATGTCAATTTACCTAAAGAATGGTTTTTAACCACTGAATGCCCCCCTAAGCCAGTTCAACGTAGTTTAAATGATTTAGATTATATTCAGCCTTATTTAGATGGTACGGTTAAAATCAGTTTTGATAGGCCAGTAAAGTCAACAGTTCAATTAGAACAATTACCTACGCCTAGTCAATCCTTTAAGTTTCCAGCAAGACATTCGTCTGCAGAGTCTTCTTCGATTACAGAACGAGATTTAGAAGCCGACAAAGCCTTAATTGATTTCAAAATTAATGAATTAAGAAAAGCCAAACAGGTTGTCCAACCAAGCTACAAAGCCCCTACTGCACCTCCTGAGCCAATACAGCCTACGTCACCTACTAGGTCAGATGCCCAAGATTCTACTTTTGATGTTTATAATTGTGATGCCCAATTAAGAGTCCTTAATAAGCCATTTAAAATTCATTGGTCCAAATTAGATGTCCATTTCCAAGCCCCTGAAAATGCCGAAAGAAAAGCCAAGTATCATGACGCTTTCCCTCAAGCTCAAAGAAAAGAAATTTTCAATGAGTGGAAAGATTATCTAAAAACAACTAGGTCTGAGTCACCTTATCTAGATTATGTAGAAGCCAAATATCTAAGTCAAAAGTTAGTTACATTAACCCAGGAAAAATGGGAAAAAGCCGATAATACTAAAGTTGTCAGTACTCACCCCCCAGTTGAAGCCATAGTAATCAATCATAGAAATGCCAAAATTACTACAAGCCCTTACAAAGTTGTTGAGTCAAAAGATGAACCAGTCAAAAAGGTCATAGAACAAAATAATTATGCCAACACAAGCCTAATAGTAATAGGTAAGCAACTAGATAAGATAGAAACAAAAGTCGATAAGTTAGTTCCACAGGAAGTTACTCTTAAGCCTAGAAAAGAAAAGCCTTTAGTCCACTTTGAGTTAAAACCAGAATCTGCCCTAAAAGTCAGTCCAACAATGCGTAAAATAGAAGAAATGTTTCAAGAATTAACCCCAGTTAAACCCAAGCCCAATAAAGACAAAGATAAAGGAAAAGAAGAAGAAACCTCAATTAAAGTTTTAAGTCTCGATGTTAATTCTGATAGTGAGTCAATTATGTCTTTAGAATCAAGCCAAAGTCTAGAGTCAGAAACTAGTAATATTTCTAAAATAGAAAAAGCCTTTAGCAATCTCCAAGTTAACCAAGATGCCCAGAGGCTTAAAGTCAGTCGTTTAACAGGCAAAGTTAATCCTACAAGTCTGACCAAGTATTGGTATCCTAAGCCTACGCCTCCAGATGTCCAGTTTGAAGAAAGAACCCAAAGCCAATTTTCAGTGTCTTCCGATAAGCTTTACGAATGGAATATAGATGGTTTATCCGAACAAGAAATACTTAATAAATTACAACATATGTCTATGGTAGCCAATAGTTATGCCATTAATCATCAGCTAAGACAGTCAGAAATAGTTTCCCTTTTAGAAACAGGTTTTACAGGAACACTTCGTTTCTGGTGGGATAAACATCTCACAGAAGCCGCCAAGCTTACAATAATTCATGCCTTTAAAACAGATGAAAATAATTACCCTATTTTAGATGAAAGAGTAGGAACAAGCATAGAAGACGGAGTCAATGTCCTTTTATATACAATAATTGCGCATTTCATAGGAACGCCCAGTAGTACAACGGCCAGAATACATGATCAATTAAGTAATTTACGATGCCCTAAGCTAAATGATTTTAGATGGTATAAAGATGTTTTCATTTCCAGAGTGATGCTTAGAGATGACAGTAATCAAGCCTTTTGGAAAGAAAAGTTTATTAACGGTCTTCCTAATTTATTTGCCCATAAGATTAGAACAGTCTTAAGCAATGAGTCAGGTCAGATTAATTACGATGAATTAACATATGGTAATATAATTAGTACAATTAATCAAGTCGGTATGAAAATGTGTGTAGATTTAAAAATAGGAAAATCAATCCAGGCCGATAGTAAAAATTGCAAGTATGAACTAGGTAATTTTTGTGAACAATATGGTCTAGCACCGTTCCCGCCGTCTAGACAAGTCAAAAGAAGCCATGATAGACGCTTTAGTAAAAGACGCCATTATTCTCGTAGACAAAATTATTTCAAAGATAATAATGATGAGTTTTATAGTAAAAGAAGATTTACCCCTAGGAAAAGTAAATGGTCAAAAGGTTATTCGAAAGGTTTTAGGAAAAGCCCCCGACAAGGGAAAAAGAATTACCCTAGAAAAAGCACAGATAAGAGCAAAGTCATATGTTACAAATGCAAAAAGCAAGGTCATTACGCTAATGAGTGTAAGGTAAAAGAAGCAATTAAGCAGTTAAAGTTAG